TCCTGAAGAACAAAGTCATTCTGCCTTGGCAACCAGCAATCACAGGTGTCAGGTGATAGATTAAAACTTGACATCTAATTTGATTTGAGGGGAACTGAAAATAATAAGCACTTTATATGTGTGGAGCACTTTATTTTTCCAAAGAGCTCTGAGCGCTTTACCAAATCCCTTGCCTAGGAAGGAGGATAAAAAGCAAGCTTTAATAATAGTCTTCATGGTTCTGAAGCCTTATTATTAACCAAATGGTGGCCAGCTGTTCTCAGTGCCCCTTTCTTCCTCAACCTGAAAAGCAGCACAAGAAAAAAGGGCTGAAATTGCCGTACACGGGAAAGACTCTTGAATGAGGTTATGGTGCGGGGGACGACAGATGCTGGGGAGGCAGAGAAGTTCCCTGGGAGGGAAGTTCTTGCCATGCCAACTCAGCCATTTCCTGGCCGTTGAACCTCGGCTAATCAAACTTGGAGTTAGTGGAGCGGACACTGGAAGACTCCTTCTGGCATTGGACTCTCTCAGGGGGCCCTGGATAGAGCAGAAGTATGTGAATGAGGGGACCCTTCAGGTCCTTCCAGCTCAAAGGGAACCAAGGTCATTCCATGCAAGAGGATTCCTGCAGTGTTTGTTGTTCGTTACTGTGACCAAATATATGGTATGAGGAATGCTACTTACAGAGGAAAGTTAACTTCACTACAGTGAAAGAGAATCAAGGGCACGGGAGCTCTGTTGGCTGTGGCACAGCATGGTGGATCCCACATGGAAGAAGTGCGTGTGAGGAAGAGATCACAGTGCCAAAGCGGAAGCCACAGGGATGGGGAGGGGCTGGCCTACTCTCCCCAAAATAAGCAGGGTCCCAGGAGAACCACCTTAATTCCTTCCAAAGGAAGTACCCAGTTACCCAAGGCCCTCCCCAGCCTCGCCTTGTGGAGGTTGCATCTATCAACATCACCGTGTTGAGAGCCAGGCCAGCCCTCGGGGGACAAACTCAAAGCATCATACTTGCCCTGCCTGATGAGTGGGAGGGCTCTACCCTTGGGACTGGGCTACCCAGCCCTACATCACCAGCTCCCCTGGCGGGTCTGCACAAGAGGCCCAAGCTGTGCCCAGCCTCACCCATGCCGACTCTCTGTGCTCCAGTAGGAACAGAGCAGTCGGTCATCCAGCCAACTCTGCACTCCACCCACCCCTTCTCCTCTCCATTGCCTACCGCTGCTCTGGCCACTCCATTTCGCAGAAGACACTGGCTGGGCTCCAGGAGCCCCACACTAAGACCATGTCACAAACGAGGCATCTGAAGACTTTGGGCCCTGTGTCAGGTACAGATAATAGAACTGGGTCCAAGCCTGTGTAGACTTCAATGCAGAGTGTTGGCCCCAAGGCCTGCAGTCCTGCACGTTGGCATGCTTGTTTCCATCTTTTGTGTCATTGTGATAGCTCCACACCATTGGGCCTACAGACCAGGGAAGCGGTTAAGCCAGACAGACATCATCTCTGCCCTGGAGGACAATGAGATTGATTTTATGCCAACCCTTTTCACTAGGTGAGGAAACCGAGCTCCACACAGAGGAAGTAACCTGTCCCAAGGTGCCCACCACTGGTCAGTGACATGGCCTGAGCTAGAATCCAGGGCTCTGCCACTGCCCTGCACTTCTGTGCTACCACCTGGCCATGGCTGAAATCTCCTGCTGAGAAACAGGTGCTCACTTTCTTTTTAGTCCTTCTTGTTTTAGTCTCAAAGCTGGGCAGCTCAGGGGGCTCTGGCCACTCCCCACTTCCCTGTGTGGCTAGCTAAATCTCATTCTGTGATCTTTGTCCTTGGTGACAATGTACAGCACAGAGCAAAAAATAGCAGCTTGATTTTTTTCCCACGTTCCAAGTTGAGCTTGAAGCACTGGCACTTTGCAACACACTGCACAAATAAATCTTGTTTTGAGTCATAGTCCAGGGGGTGGATAAATATGGAAACCCCCAAGATATAATTTTGCAGTCATTTTTTTCTTAGCATAACAGCATGTTTTAATGTGCTGAGAAAATTTTTGTTCTGGCTCCAGAGAAATAGCAGCACTATCCCAGCTAAGTACTTTTTCATGCCTCTCAGCAAATAGATATTAACGCACAACACACAAACACACACACACACACACACACACACACACACACACACACACCCTACAACTAAACCAGCCTAACAGCTGCACATCCTGAGCTGAATGCCAATCCCCAGCTCTAAGCTAACAGCTCTAGTTATTTAAAGTCAGAGATGGATAATCTTTAGAATTTCAATAACTTTGTCTTCCATCAGGCCAAAGTTCATGAAAAGGCAACTAAGATGACAGTGTAGAGAGGGTTCTCTGTCAAAAGGTCCCGGAGAGAAAACAGCTCTAGAAGCCTCCTGTAAGTCCAGGAGTTAGGGATCTGGAGAAGAGCAAGCGGATGAGTCTTATGGACACACAGTCTCAGAGCCACAGCACCCACGTCTGCTAAGAGGAGTCTGCATGTCGTTCCGGTCCGTCACACCGCTGGGCTTCTCACCTGTGACAATAACCTGTACCAGTGTTAACAGCAGAGGGTGGGTGGATCCGAGGCTTGTTTGCCACGCTTTGGACTTATAAAAGGAAGTGCCATGCATGCAGAGTGGCTTAGTGCTGGAGCACCTGCCTGGCGTGCAAGAGGCCATGGTGCCATCTGCAGCACTGCATGAACAGGGTACGTGTGTGTCACCTGGTGGGCAGTCAGGAGCCTCCTGTGCCAAGTGGGAGATACCTAGTAGTGGAAAGGGAAGGGATAAGTTCATCAGATTGTTCAAGACTTCAGAGTCGGAGGGGACCACCAGGACACTCAGGCCTACCTGGCCCATCCCTTTGCCCTGTGTCAGAGTGGACCTTGGGCCAGGGGCTGATGACCGACTTCCTGTGACAGGAACACATTCTCTGGCCTTACCTGTGTTCTCTTCCATTTCTGCCACCTTTTGGAAATAGGCCTCATTCTTCATCCACGGCAGGCCATCCCCACAGAGGAAGCAAATTGCCAAGGGTGGTTGTGCAAGAGAGGAACCACACAAGAATAGAAATCATAGCTCATACCGGGTGCTTTGCTTTCTCCTGCTCTATTTTACTTTATGTCTAGGGATGGCTTTTAAAAGAAAGGCAAAAGCTGCCCCCTTTCTGAAGGGCAGTGCTGCTGTTGTGGGCCCAGGGTCCAGACAATGGACTGCACTGCCAGCCCCAGCCATCCCTTTAGGCCTCTCAGCATCTGCCATCCCCTTCACAGGGAGGAAGGCACAGCCATCACCCCTTCCAAGTGACAACAAAATCTGGTTAAAATTCAGTCCTGAAATTTCGAGTCTGATGCTCATATTTTCAGACTTTCCATGTCAAGAAATCTCACAAGCCTTAGTCATCTCTCACACATCAGTGTACAAATATATCTTTCTCATGTGCTCTAAACAGCAAGCCTTTGGCCCAGTTCCCTGCTTCCTCCTCTTCTCTTCCTTTTCTGTGAAAAACTCTTCCCACAAGTATCCAGTCACCAGCAGAGTCAGAGAACAGGGAGACTCCCATTAGCTGACTCTCTGGTAATAGGGAGCCACAGCAGTGGGGTTTTCACTTCCTATTTAGGGTTAACCTGCTTTCTATGTTAACTGCAGTGCGTGATATTTAATTTATTGTCAGTAGGTCTGAATGCATCATAAGATCTTGTGGAGCTTTGAGTCATCTTTAAAAGCTGTAGTTGCCATCTTAGCAATGGAAGACGTTTTGAGAGAGTTCTATTTAGTAAGATGCTGGGTAGCAGAGAGTTCATAGGAAATAGGCATCCAGATAAAAAGGTTGGGGAATTGTGGACGTGTATGCTCATGGGCCTCATTCCTTAGTGATTTTGTTGTTGAATGTTCTTTTGGGTTCTCCAAACCTAATGTTCTCATTTAGTAATTGAGAATTTTTTCTACTACTGACCTGCAATAAAAATGAATGTACAGGTTAAGGAAACATTGAGGTTTTAATTTTAAAGATCATTGCATTGAAATTTAAAATATGTGTTCCTGTCAGGTGGACTTTAGACATTCATCTGAAGTGCTAAGGTAAAGTAGCTAAAATATTGGTGAACTAACTGCTGCTATTCCACTGCCCTTCTATTTAGTAAAACATTCAGCTACAGTGCATAACTACTAGTTACCAAATTATGATTAAAAGTCCCTAATTAAATATTTCACAAAGTAACAACCTTCTTAACTGTGAGTTTGCATACTGACTAGCAACTGTCCATGGGTCTTCTGTTCCCCTCCAGGAGAAGCACGTGTTTCGGGGAAGGGGCGGAAACCGCAGGACACAGGCTTCTGGCTGGTGGGTCCCAGCCGTGCAGGAGTGGACAAAACCACAGCCATGAGGGAGCCTTGGCCTCTGGCCCAGCAAGGGTGGCAGCTGCAGCTTCCTGGGTCTCCAGAGAGCCCCCGGTGGCACGAGTCTGTGGTACCCACATCCAGGGAGGCCTCTGCCACCCTGTATGGGACTCAGTGAGCTCCCTATCATGAGTCAGACTGGGCCCAGCCCAGGGAGCCTGTGTGCCCATATGAGGCTCTGGAGAGCCACTTGTGATCTAGCATTCTTCAGAGGAGCTCCAAACCACGCTCCTTTCCTTGGTTCATTCCACAGTCACTTGAGAATGCTGCAGGAGGCACCAGAAGCAGTAGAAAAGGATCCAGTGTCCATCAGTCAGTTTCCACTGTCCCCACTTCCGGCTGCCTCCACCCCAGTATACCTGGGGAACCACCAGTCCCATCTGAGAACGGAGGAGAGTGCAGATGGGGGAGTGTTCCTTGCCCAGATGGGGACCGGGAGGCACCATGCAGAAGGGTGGCACACTGAGGTTCTTGGAGGGCAGCTGTCCCTCCTGTGTGCCAGCAGAGGACACACAGACCAGACCTTAGCACTGCAGCCTGTGCTCCAAGCCCACCCCTCTGGGATGTCCCAGTGAAGGCTTTCTCAGCTGGGGGATTTTCTGTAATGCAGGAAGCTGTGGGAGACCGTGTTCCTGTTCTTCTGCTGGGCAATAAACTTGACAATGAGAAGGAGCGGGAAGTTCCCCAGGGCCTGGGGGAGCAGCTTGCCAAGGTAAAGCACGGCCTTTCTTTCTCTCTGGTCAGGGTGGGAACTCATGCATGGCTCCCTTGCATGGAGAAAGGCACAGGTCGCAAAAGGGTGCTGTTTGGGAACAGGGAGGTGTGGGGAATTATCCTAAACTCTGTGCCTTGGGACACAGGAGCATTTATTCTAAGATAGTCAGGTTATGTATTTTAGCTTCTTCTCTGTGCCACCCATATCTGCATTTGATTACATTCAAAAATGAGAAACTCACTACCCATAGGGCCACTGTGCTAGAGAATCATTCTTTCTATCAAGATGGTGCTTTGCAGGTGTGAACTCAAGATAAACTCGAAGGAGACACTGGAAAGGCTGCTGTTAAAAGAAGCATCCGCCTCTGGCCAAGAACAGACCAGTTGGCCTCTGTGGAAACCAGACAACAAGATGAAGCTTGCTCAGGCCTTCTTTTGCATGGAGCTGTGTGACTGGGAAGATCAGTGCTCAGGCAGCTCTCACTGCATTCACCTTAATCAGGGAGTTGGGCTTAGCAGTCCCAGAAAAGCCCGCATACGGTGAGATTCAAGGACAAAGGACGAAGAGGCCTACCAGGCGTCTGTGTGGAGAGTCACCAGGTGGTTGGTTACGTGTCTGCAGTCTCAGGCCAAATGCCTGAAGGGAGAATGGTTCGTGTGCTGTGTGCATCATTTGACAGGAAAATTTGACCGGAACTGACATAAGGCTGTGTGATTTTACATTCAGAGTAAACATTCAAGTGTCACGCTGAAGAAATGTGACTGTGTCCCATGATGGGGGCATTGCAGATCCTCTGCAGGTCTTGTGTAATTCATGATATATAATATATGTGTTGCCTTCCTATAATTCAGAAAGTTCTGACTTCCAGAAGACCTGTCGATCTGCAGATTCAGCCGAGGAAACACAGACCTACACTAGCATTACTGTCCCACCTTCTTTTCTTTGGTTCTGCTTTCCATCCATGAGAAAAGTGCTGAGAGGGTAGCTGAGTGACTCGCTTGGTTGGTCACGCAGCTCACCATGGTGGGATCTGCATCGTGTCCCACAGGGGCCCTCCTGCCCCAGCCACCCAGGAAGTCTCCAATGGGCTGAGCCAGAGCGGGCTGGACTGGAGTGTGCACAGGAGGAGGTGAAGGGGCAGAGGTGGCGGGGCTGTGGCTGTGCATGGGGACAGCCGGATTGCAAGCCACTGTTTGAGCCCCATCCCTACTTGATGAAAGAGCATCTCAAAGCAGGAGCTGGTGCCATCAGCACTGCTGTCACGGAGCAGCAACTTGTGAAGGGAAGTGATAAGTGCACCATGGAGAGCCTTGGCCTCAAGCCTAAGAGGTGAGGCACAGGTGTCCTGTGCACCAGCACTGACAGCCTAGACAGTCGGCACCTCATTAACTGGCATGAAGGAGAGTCTGACTGGAGGCTCACAGCATCTTCCAGGGCCCAGGGAGCCCATTGTCCTGGGCAGAGCTCAACACTGCAAGCCCTGCCATCCAGTAAGTTCAGGACCCAGTCAGGCCAGCTGCGTGTGGCACCAGCTTCGGCTCTCATCTGGGAACTGGGAAGAATATAACCTGCACTGTCTTTGCATCTCTGCCTGCATCCCAGGGCTCCTAAGAATCTGGAAGGAATGTGTGTACTTTTGCAAATGAGTGGAGCCGTGTGAGTTGGTCAAGCTGCACAGGGCTACCCTACGGTCACGACTCAGCTGGGGATGCTCACAGACCGAGCAGCAGGCAGAGAGCTGAGGGGCCAGAAACCAGCCAGGGCCAGGGTGCGGACAGGGCTGAGGAGTTACAGGGTCTTCCAGAGGAGATGAGGGCTCAGGAAGAGGTGGACAGGGCACCCCCAGCTCCTCCTAGCTCCTGTTTTATGATTCCAGGAGAACAATCTGATCTTCTATGAGTGCAGTGCCTGTTCCGGCCACAACACCAAAGAGTCCCTGCTCCACCTAGCCAGGTAAGGAGACACACACAGCAGGCCAGGGGTTGATCTGAGCCCAGCCGTGTAGGCCTGCTGGATGCACTGGGGCCCCCTGTCCCGACTGAACCCTGGGCCTGCCGTCCTGTCTACCCCAGTACTCTGAATCCAGGTGGTGGCCCAGGCCTCTGTGTGGGATTTCAGCCATCAGGACAGCGTCCTGACACAGCAGAACATATGAGCTCCCTCCAGGCACCTCCTTCCTCTCCTGAGTCTTACTGGTGGCCTTTTTGCAGGAGCCCCGGGAAAGGTGCTCTCAGGGGTCCCTCAGCACTGTAGGATCTCAGCAGGGATTCGTAAGCGGCCAGCTGGGAACAGGTGTGCTTCTTCTTAAGGAGGGGAGCAACCAGGAAGAACAGGGCTAGGACAGAGCGTCAGTCAGCTCTCTCCACAGTTGCAACGCTGGAGGAACAGATCCCACAGAAATACTCAATCCTTTAGACCCTGTCTAACCAAATAGTCAAGAAAGCAGAACAATCATGTGCAGCAGAGAAAGCAGGCTCAGGGAAAAGGCCCAGCCTTCTTTCTGCCAGACTCAGCTTTGTTGGTTCTGTAGGAACACCGAGCTGGCCTTTGCTGCCCAATCAGGCACTTGTGCAGGCCAGAGGAGAGGCGCGTGCTGAAAGTGCTATGGAAACATAAAGCAGGTCAAACACTTGCCATTCTTTGGAATCCCTCGCCTCCTGCATTTATTCTGAGCCCTTGGGCATGTGGCTTAGCCCTGCTGTGAAGTTAGCCGTGAACAGCCGTGTCATGAGCCTGTGTGTCAGTAACCAGGCGGGATGTGGGACACAGAGGCACCGCGTCTGTCCCGGCCACTCGCTGGTGAGGGGCAAAGCCAGAAGCGCATGCTGTGATAGTTCTGGGCCTCAAGGGACAAAGGTCAGGGTGCAGCTGGGGGCCCTGTTATGAGCACCTAAGGAGGAGGGACTAAGCCCTGCACACAGTTAGCCTGCCCTGCACTGCCCAGGGGAGCCCCCCAGCACATCGCTGCACCCTTGGAGGCCTGTCCCCAGGGGTGCTGGCTGCAGAGCCTCACAGCCTCTCCACACTGACACTGTCCTTCCTCTCTGCCAGGTTCTTGAAGGAACAGGAAGACACGGTGAGGGAGGATACCATTCAGATGGGCCGCCCCGCTAAGAAGAAGTCCTGCTGCGGATGACAGGAGGCCTCCGAGGTCTGGCTGTGGGGCACCTCGCCCTGCACATGGGCTCCCTACCACAGCCTGAGAGTCCGGCCCAGACCCTGTCTTAGCTGGCGATTCGCCTCCCCCAGCAGGGACATCATTGGGCCAGCAGTGCTGCTCCCATGAACCTCTCCTGGACCCCAAGTGCCTGTCCCTTTTTTCCTCCAGCTTGGTTTCCTGGGGGAAAGAAACAGATGGGCTTTTCCAGAAAAACCATTGCATGCCTTCTCCACCTCCCTTCTCCCCAGGCCCTTAGCAGCCTCTGTACTGCAATTGCCATGGCAACTGGGTGGGGCCACCTTGTTGCTTCCTGGAGGCTAAAGATGGACCCCTCAGGTGAAGCCAGCAATGCTTCTCTTGCTTTGACTCTACTATTTCTTCTTGGCATGTACTTCGTGGACCTGAGAGACCCGAGTTGTTGAAAGAAGCAAATCTCTGCCAAGGGGCTCTGCTCCCCATCTCAGCCTCAGAGCAGCTCCCATGCTCACCCAGCCCACAGGCCTCCCTGTCGGGGTCTCTGGAGTGGTGCCAGAGAACCACAGCCTTTCCTGCCCGCCCCAGTGGCCACCCTGGCTCCAGGGCGAGCCGAGGGAGAGCCAGGGAGTCAGCTTTCTTCCTACCTAACTCTGACTAAGACATGGAAAAGAAACAGGGACGAAGCCATCTGCTGCTGAGGGACGGCCTTCTCGGGGGTGTGAGTAAGGTAGAGGCAGCTGTGTAGCTCCAGAAAATCACTCGTGGTGACTGTGGCAGAGACTGACTCGTAGGCCATGTGGCCCAGCACGGGAGCTACAGTTGCCGACTGTGTCTTACTCTGTCTCCCTTCCTGAGATGGTAAGAGTTTTCTTTAATGTGGTTGTAAGCTGCACTTTGTGATGTTTGAGAAGGGACCGCAGTGTAGCTGCTGCTTCGTCACAGGCAGAGGAACAGAGGGAACAGCCTGGGTCCCTGTGAGAGTCCTTCTGCTGGGAGGTATCTCAGACACCGGCCTTCTCAGGGGTCCCGGGATGGCATCAGCACAGCAAGTGCACTCACTCTTGCCCTGGGTAGGAGGTCGGACGGGATGAGACCACAAGACCCTGCCAAATGTGAGTTCAGGACTGCAGCCCCAGGTGCCCCCCAGAAGGTGGGTGGTCCAGACCCCAGCGTCATGCACACTGAGGGAGATGGCAGGAAGCGTACTGGGGTCAACCCTCAGCAGATGGCTGAAGACAGCCCACACGCTGGAGTCCCAAGGGCCTTCCCAGACTCCTTCCAGACCCCAGAGAGTTGCCGCCGTGGGTCACCAAGCCAGAAGCCACCTCCCTTTCCCAAGCCTCTCCCTCTCCCTGATGCTTGCAGGGGGCGTGAGTGTCTGGAGATCTGGAGGTGCTCATACCCAGGCCCTGCCTCACCAGCACAGTGAGCGGTGAGCTCTGATGCTCGGGAGCTTCCTTCTCAGATGCTTGTGGTGGTGTATTCGTCTTCCTTCACTGACTGACGCCGTCCAGGTCTGGAGAGAGCTTTCAGGAAACGCCTGTCTCAGGGAATGGCAATGTGATGGCCTCAGAGGCTGTGGCAGGCAGGGTGTGGGGAGGGGGAGGCAGGGTGGTCAGAGAATAGATCAGCTCCCTGGCTGGCCAGACACAGAGAAGGAACTGGTATTGGGTTGGTATCATGGGTAAGCAGACTTCACCTGGGGGTCCCTAAATCCCCAGGTGACTTTGTCTCCCATACCTTGTCCCTGCCTCAGATTTTTCCCATTGATAAAAAGTGCCTTCAAGGGTTTGCAGGTGGGTGGGACAACCCTACTGCCAGACTTCTGACATGGGGTGGTAAATGCCACCACTCTTCAGAGGCCTGGCAGAGAAGGAGGGGTAGGAGGCCCTCCACCCACGCGGGAGACTGCAGGAAGTGTTCAGGTCAGGCCTCCAGGAGGACTCTGCTTCCCCTTCTGCTCACTGTAGGAGACTGGAGAATGGGGGCTTCAGGGATGCTCTGAGAGGCTCTTCTTCCCCAGCTCCTCCTTCCCCTCCTTTGGGTTCACTTAAGCCACCAGGTGGATCAGAGCTACCCTGGAGGTCACCTGGCCCAGTGGCTGGCAGAATGCCCAGAACAACCTTCTGGCTCTGTTCCATTTGCACTGCTGTGGTAATCTAGACCCTGTCACCTTAGCAAGCTATACATTCACCCATAGACTGGGCATCACTGTCTACCTCTGGGACCTCCCAACTGCTTAAGGAGGGAAGGGATGTAAAGTGCCCAGAGCAGGGCCCCAGACCTCATGGTGCTGATAAGCAGGGTCTATTTTTCGGTCAGCACTGAGTCGCTGCCCAGTCTACTTGCCTTTCCTTGGTTTTAGGTTGGAAGCCAACTAGCATTTAGCAAGCCTCTACCTGAACTGGGATGCCTCTCTTGAGCATCTCTGCCTGGCCCATCAGCGAGGTTCTAAGCTCAGATCTGATGGTGCCCTTTGTTCCCTGGTTTCCAGCCTTCCTGACTCTCCTGCAGGGACCATATCCTGGCAGAACCTATTGCCTGATTTCAGCCCTGGCCCACTCCCCGCCTTGACCAGGACATACACAGCAGCTCAGACCAGAGCCCAACCGGCTAGCTACCTGTGGGGGGCCAACAATCTTGCCCCTGCTCCCCCGCGTGGCTCCTTATGCCCTTTGGGGTTCTGCTGCAGCCTTCGGCCCTACGTTGCCAGTTCTAGATCTGCAGCACCAAACCAGCACCCAGGGCTCGGCTTACATTTCACATGTGTTTTTCTGCAGTCTTGTTAGGGTCTTCTGTGCCCCGTGACCCTGGCTGTCCCTCTCCTGTCTGGCATTCTTGTCCTTTTCTTTGGTCTTAGGCTCCCTGCTCTCCCCGGGTCCACTCAAGAATACCTGTGTGCTCCATCAGAAACAAGTGGCTGGAGCCTGTGCTCCTATCCCAAGAGGCCACTGTTGGGAAGGGTGTCCAACTAAGCTCAGCAGAGGCTCTGCATGTGTGGTCCCAGGGCTGTGCCATGTGTGGACAAAGACCCTGAGGGAGGCAGAGCTAACCCAGGTGAACAAGTCCAGGGAGTCAAGTATTGCACTCTGGAATGGTCATGGAAGTCACATATTTGTCTCCTCTCCTCTGTCAGAGACCTTGGTTTGCTTCATACATTTAGGGACTCTTGCTACACTGAAACATGCTTGTAACTGTGCAGTCTTTGGGATGTCTTGGCCTTCTGTCATTATGAAGTGTCCTCCTTTGTCTGTAGGAACAACTTTAGTTTAAAGCTCATTCTGTCTTCTATTACCATAGCCACTTTTGTTGTTTTGTTGTTGTTTGCATAGTATATCTTTTGTTCTTTTAGTTCCGATCTATTTGTGTCTTTGAATCTAAATTGAGTCTGTTATAGACAGCATATAGTTAGATAATTTTTAAAACTTGTTTTTCAAATTTTTCTTTTAATTGGAAAGTTTAATTTGTTTGCATCTAATGCAATAATAAAGCAGGATTTATGTCTGCTCTTTGGCTGTTTATTTTCTATACATCATACTTATTCCTCTATTCTTACACTACTGTCTTCTTTTGTATTAACTAGATATCTCTAATGAACCATTTTAATTCTCTTATTTTACTTACTGAACATGTTTTGCCTGTTTTCTTGGTGGTTTCTCTGAGGATCACCATTAATATCTCAATTTACTAACAGTCTGTTTGGATTAATACCAACTTATTTTCAATAATATACAAAAATGTTGTTCCTGTATGGTTTCATTCTCCCTTACGTTGTTATTGTCACAAATTACATCTTCACACATTCTGAGCCTAATTACTGTTTTATGCACTTTTATGCAGTTGTCTTTTAACCACAGAGAACAAAGGAGTTTTATCTTGTATGCTTCCCCACACAATTCTTTTGCCATTGCTCTTTATGTCTGCATGTCGACATGGATTACTGCCTTTTAGCTTTTCATCTTAACCCGAAGGACTGGCTCTCTTTAGTATTTCTTTCAGGGCTGTCACAGTTACCTTTCTCGTCACTGAGACACGATACCTGATATCCACAAGTTTAAGGAGGAAAGGTTTGTTTTAGCTCACAGTTTGTAGAGATTTCAGGCCACAGTCAACTGGCTCCAAGGCGAGTGGCATTGCAGAGACACCTCTGACAGAGAGACATTGCAGAGAAGCCTCCCTTTCCCTTTCATCCCATCCAGGCTGCAAGCCTTTTGGGCAGTACCACTCCCCACCCCACCGCACACACGCATACACACCCAGGATGGGGCTTCTCATTATCCACACCTAGAGCTATAAGTCAATCCGTGGACTAATTCAGTAACACACACCCTTAATCTCAATATCATGTGCCCATGATCCAACCACCTCCGAAAAGTTCCACCTGTGAGCACATGATGCTTTGAGAGGACACCTAGATAAAATCCACAAGAAGGGCAGACCTGCTATAGATAAATGCTCTCAGTTTTTATATATCTGGGAACATCTTAATTTATCTTGCACTTCTCAAGGGGTTTTTTGCTAGCTATAGTCTTTTGGTTGACTTCTATTTCCAGCATTTTGACGATACATCCCAATGTTTCTGGCCTCCCTGATTTCTGACGTGAAATTAACTGTTAGTCTTACTGGGAGTCCCATGTATGTGAGGGATTGCTTTTTTCTTGTGCTTGGCTTTCAGAAGTTTGGTTCTGATGTTTCCATCTGTGGATCTCTTCTGAGTTTTTCCCACTTGGGGTGTGTTGAGCTTCTTGGGCGGCTGGATTAATACTCTCACCAGTTTTGGAGAGATTTTCATCATTATTTCTTCAAATATTCTCTCTACCATATTCTCTCTTTCCTTTTGGCATTCATGGTGGTGCCCTGCTGGCCTCTGAGGTCCTGCTTATTATTGTTATTCATCTTTGAATTTTATGTAAGTATTAATGAATTTTTCAATTCTATTATTTATTGTACCTTCAACTCTAGAATTTGCTAGGTTCTTCATTATAATTTCCTAGTCTTTATTAATAGTCTCTTCTTTGCAAGACTATTCTCATCCTTTCTTCCAGCTCTTTAAATATGGCTTCCTGTGATTCTTTGGATGTATTTAAAATACAAGTCTGTCCTAAATGTAGATCAAATTCTATTTGCCCGGACCTGCTTCCTTTCTTATACTCCATATGAGACAGCTAGGACCTGGTCTCCTTCCCTTGCTCCACCTCCAGCCTCCTCCCCAAGTCTATGGAGGTTTCAGTCTATAATTGGCTGGCTCCAAAGCAGACTGGCAGATGGCAGAGGGGCATCAATTTATGATGGTGGAAGATAGCAAAGCAACGTGAAAAGAGACCTCACCAGTGTCTTTTTGCCCCTTTTATTTTATGCAGGCTACTTAGGGTGGGTAGCACTCACACCCTTAATCCTAGAGCCACTGAGCCTAGCACTGCACCATGGATCCATTCCAGAAAAATCCCCACCTATGACTGCATGAGGCTTTGGGGGGGATATCTAGACAGCCATAACAGAGACTGAGAAGCTTTTGGTTGGCCCAGGGAAGTTGAGGCACCCAAGGAGGTGCTTAGCCCGTTGGGGAGGGGAGGGGAGGCCAAGCACCCTTATACCAGGCTCCCAAGAATCCAGACATCCTGCATGTGGGAATGCTACAAATCCAAACTGAAGCTTGAAAAGTGAAAGGCAGATTATTCCCAATAATGAAACTATAGTACCCATGAGACCCAAGTAGCCTGTGCTGCTGGCTGGGACCAAATCCCAGGCTTGCTTCAGGGACTCACCCAAGGAGCCACCACTCCTCCTCCTGGGAGTGCAGAGGCTGCAGACTCCAGCCAGGCTCACAGAACCCACAGGATTCGACCTTCCAGGTCAGTCCCTTCCTCCCGAAGAGGCGTGGCTGACAGGGTAGAAGTGCTGTGTGAACTTCCCAAACCCCTTTCTGACCTCTGTTGGTGCTTCTATTAACACACACATTAATCACCAGAAACAGCAGTAACAAAGAACATCATAACTCCACTGTTCACACAATTCAGCGCAGCCAATTTAATCCAAATGCCCTACTTAGCCGAACACTGCTGGGAGGCCATGCAAGGCGGTGCTTGGCAGTGGACCTGAAAGCCACGTGGAGCTGAGGCACATGGGCAGGGTCCTGTCATTTATCACCCTGGGGCCAGGCTGAGTTCAGGCCCAAGAGCTGACCCAGGTTCCACACTGGGACCTCATCGAGGCTTGGCACAGAGTAGAGGTGGTGTTTGCAGGGCCTTGTTGCACTGGGAGTCTCCTCTTCCTACAGGCCAGGGCTCCTAGAGCCAGTGAGGCTTGTGCTACCATAATGCGTTATGGCCGGATCCCTCTGACCTAAAAAAAATGAAGACTACACATAAAAGTCTGCCTGTTAAGCAGAAATGGCAGAGGAACACAGACAGAGAATGGGGCTGTTATTTTTGCGTCTTGGAAACAAATATGCAGAGGTGAATTCAGAATGAATTTGGGCAATAAGACTGTGAATGCGGGATTCGCTGAGTGGGTGCATCGCTAGGCTGAGGCACAGTGCCCCCGGGCTGCACGGCCTGCTCTGGTGGTGCTAAGCCCTGCATGCTGCCCAGGGGCTCTACCGAGTGTGGCTTCTACCGAGTTTGCCTTACGGAGCAGTTGAGGCCAAGTACCATTTGTGAAGAACAAGCGCCCCCACACTGAATGGCTCCACTGCAGCCCAGATCCCGCAGGTGGCAGTGCTGAGGCCCTGTGTCCTGGGCAGCCGCATAGCTTTGCTTCACTGGTCAAATGAGGTGCTGCTTCTGGGGAGCCTTCCGGCTGCTGTGCCCCATTGCCTCTCAGCAGTGCGACGCCTGTCAGAGCCTTCCATCACCCGTGCCCTGCAGTGGTAGTCATTACCCACAGGCTGTTCAATGACTCCGTTTTACTTGGGCTCCCTGCCTCTGTGCACAGACAATGTTTCCTTGCCCATTTCTCTTAGTTCTTGGTGTGGAACCAGCCATCCCTTCCCCGCTGTGCCTCTCCCAGAAGCTTTCTGGCCCCGAAAGGCCTGCTCAGAATAAGGACCTGCACGCAAGTTGTGTGGCTTTGGGCAAAACCCAGACTGCTGTTGTCTGACCCTGATTCCCTATCTACACAAGAGTCCTCTCTACCTTACCCCCCACTGCAGGGACCTGAGAAGGAGCTGAATCTACTGATGGCACCAGCCAGTGATAATTATCAGTGAGTTTGTCTCCCCATGCAGGAGACCAAACCAAACCTGGTATGGCAGGGAGAATCTACATTCCTTGGTGACAAGAGCTAGGGTCACAGGTACAAGCCCCTCCCGTTTCCCTTTGGAAGGAGAGTAGGCGAAATTGCATTTCTTCAAGCTAGAGATTTTCATGACTTCTTTTCACCATGACTAAGTTGCTTGGGGTGCCAGTGTCACACAAACAGAGCTGTCTCACCAGCAGAGCAGTGATCTCCATTTTTGCATCTACCTTATGGTATCTGGCCTGGTGCAGAATAGACACTGCTTGGGTGGAGGTACCAATTCATGCCCAGGGAGGACATCAGGTCTTATGTTCTCCACGGCCCCACCTCTACAGATACAGTTTATAAACACTTCCACACGGGTACAGCGAAGCTCTGGAGACAGATGGTGGTGGGCATGGCCAGCTGCATGCAGTGTCCTGAATGTACTTGTAAGTTTTTAAATGGTTAAAATTATAACTATCATGCATGCTGTGCTGCAATAAAAGGGAAAAGCACACAGATATTCATGTTCCATGAAAGAAGGGAAGATTGATTTTTTTCTGTGCCCAGCATTAAGTTGCTCTGGGTTGCCTTGTGTTCCGTCCAAGGATGGGGGAGCTGGAAGGAGAAAACCTGGCCTGTGGCTCTGGGAGCCACAGGGAACTTGGGGGCAGCAAAGTCCTAGAGACCCACTGTACTCGGTGTTCACGGCCACAGCCCCTCCCAGGCCGGCTGCTAGGACTCAGCACTTGCTGCTCATCCCACGCTTGCCGCTCTCTCAGCAAGTCGGCCCCATGCCACTCGGGCTCCCTGGGAAGCAGACTCGCCCTCCCTGACTGCCAGCAGGAGTGCCATCCTGGCCCTGGAGCAGATGTGAGAATATGCCGGGTGGAAACCAGGGGTGAAAGTCCTTGTCGTCCCTGCAACTCTGCACTGACTGGCAGAAGATACACTGAGAAGCCCCGTCTGAATCTCTTGGCCTTGCAGAGGTTTGCACCGTGATCATTTGTGGTGAAGAGGGGAGAGGGAGCCAGGACTCTGCACAGGGAGGACTCACTGTGCCGAGAGGCTCAGGGGACAGGATCATAACCAGGGAACACAACACAGACCTGCAGTTTATCCCAAGGGACTTTGTCTCAGCACTGCTGA